TTGCTGAGACCCTGAAGAATACTGACCCTCAAATCAAGTGCCATGTAGAAAACCAGATGAACACAGACCTGCCCCACCACCTTCTGCCAAATGAATAAGCATTCCGTGGTGCTTATGTGATCCCAGCACCTGTCTTCTTCAGGTAGCCTAATCTCCAGCTGATGACAAATAAAGGAAATGTCACCTATTTGCCAGAACCACTGAGCCTCACCCTCAGATCATAGCAGTCTGTTAGAACTCTGTCGACTCCAAGTCCACCTCCTCCCACATCCTTGTTCTCCTTGAATCATTCTGCTTGGCAGAATACACTGGTCCCATCCTTCCAGGAACCTACTAGGACTTCTGTTGGTGGTAAGCAAATTCCCTACATCTTCCATCTCTTTCCTGATTACTTTCTTCATCTTTCACAGAAAAATGGCTGTCTTCTATTGTAGGATATTTGATCACACTGTGAACCCTGGGATTGCATTATTTAAATTGGGGAAAAACTGCTTCTAGTTGTGGTGTGGCTCAGACATGGCACATGTCTTGAGTCCAAGAGCTATCTGCTTCTTGTAAACAGGGTTATATAAAAACACTCCATAGGTCAAGAGGCAGAGCAAGCAAGCAGTTGATAGAAAGTAACCATAGAGAATAAGAGGGGGTCAGGAGAAGGAAGCAGGAGAAAGATGCATGGGAAGGAGAAGGGAGGGGCATTGAGTTGGAGGGGTTTTTGTTTGAGACTGTAGGAGAAAGGTCTCTCTTACAGTGGAAAATGAAAAACGGTAGAGGAAGAAGCAGCTGGGTGCTTTCTCCGCCTAAGCTAGCAGGTTTTCACTCCAGCATCTAGCTCCAGAGTCTTTATTGATAAAACGAAACAATACCAATTAAATCAACAGTCTTCTAAGGACATACCTTCCCTGATACCATCAGAGTAACTTACTCTCCTATAGCTTAGAGATCACCAAATCAGGAGATCGGAATCACTGATTTCTCCATAACTTTGGCACTCCTCCTCCTCCTCCTCCTCCTCCTCCTCCTCTTCTTTTGGTTTTTCGAGACAGGGTTTCTCTGTGGCTTTGGAGGCTGTCCTGGAACTAGCTCTTGTAGACCAGACTGGTCTTGAACTCAGAGATCGCCTGCCTCTGCCTCCCAAGTGCTGGGATTAAAGGCGTGCACCACCAATGCCCGACTTTGGCACTTTCTTACAAACCCTCTGTACTATGGATCTTGGATCATATGACATACTGTTTCAAGCCGGTTCCAACTTCCTCCTTGTTTTTCTCAGTCATTGCTACCTGGTTTGCAGTGGATCTCTCCACTCTACTGACTTCACATTATAAATGGCTTCCACCAGACAATACCCATCAATTGTTAGACCTTGTCACCTACTTCCATCATCACAAATTCAAAATGTTCACTGTCCAATCTACTATTTCCTATTGTAACTCTAACCTCATCCATACTTTTAAAAGAATTCTCATTTTACTATTATTGTGTAGTGTGTGAGTACAGACATGCTTTGGACCATAGCATGCATGCGATTAGAGGACAACTTTCAGTAGTTGGTTCTCTACTTCCAGCGTGGTGCTCAGGAAGGAACGCAGGTTGTCAGGCTTGTGCAAGCACTTTATACCCATCTGCACTGCTAAGCTGACTCCTCCACTCCCTCCCTATTCAATAGTCCATCAATTTCAGTTCTTTTAGTTTTTATACTAAGCTTCACATCTATCATCAAAACATAATCTTCTCTGTCCTTTCCTTGCAACTAGACAAAAGTTCAACCCTTGGTAAATTCTGCCATCTACTTTTTACATCTCAATATCTAATGAAAGCTCAGTGAAGAAAACCGGGCCATGAGAACACTAGACAATGGGATATGTAAACAAAGCTACAAACTCATTAATGCTGGTGTCAATCTAGCTGCCAGATTAAAACATTTCAGATGCTCCCATCTTCTAGTCTTTCTCTGCCATTCTCCAGTCCCCTCAGCCTCAGCCATCTCTCCTTCATCCCAGCTTCTTTCTATTGTTTTACTGACAGTAGAATTAACATGCTCTAATCTCTTCCATCTTAAAAAATACCTCAATTTATCCTCAGGCCCTCACTATACACCCCTGCCTTTTTCTGTTTCTTGCTATTCATAGCAGACTTCTTTTTTGTTTGTTTGTTTTGTTTTGTTTTGTTTTGTTTTTGAGACAGGGTTTCTCTGTGCAGCTTTGGAGCCTGTCCTGGCACTTTCTCTGTAGACCAGGCTGGCCTCAAACTCACAGAGATCTACCTGCCTCTGCCTGTCGAGTGCTGGGATTAAAGGCATGTGCCACCAATGCCAGCCTATAGCCAGGCTTCTTGAGTCTCTTTATTACTGCTATGGCCTGGAGGCAGTTTTTCCCCCAACATTCACTTTTGTCCCAAAAGTGGTGGTATTGAGAGAGTGTGTGGAACCTCTAAGAAGTGGGACCACTGGAATGTCTGTGTGCTCTTAAAAAGAATAAGGAATTTTCCTTAGGACCCTAATTTAGTTCTAATACAAAGAATGATCTAAAAGCCTAAACCTAGCTAGTGTAGTGGCACACACCTGTAACACCAGCATGTGGAAGGCTGGGGAAGACGAATTTTTAGTTTTAGACCATCCTGAGTTTGAGTTTGAGACCAGCCTGGCCACACATAAGACCCTGCCTTAAAAAGCAATGACTTGAGATATGACTCAGTAGAATGTTTGGCTAACATGAATGAGGCCCTAGATTTTATCCCTAGCTCTGTATAAAACTAAATGTGTTGATATAGATCTGTTATTCCAGCACTCAAGGGGAATTGGGAATTCAAGGTCATCCTTGATACATAGCAAGTTTGAGGCCAGCCTGGGATACATAAGACTGTGTCAAAAAACAAAAGGAAGCCAAAAAAAAAAAAAAAAAGCCCACTGCCCTGGCTAGTTTTATGTCAACTTCACACAAGCTAGGTCATCAGAAAGGAGGGTGCCTCAACTAAGAAAATGCCTCCATAAGATCCAGCTGTAGGTAATTTTATTGACTGGTGACTAATGAGGGAGGACCCAGCCCACATGAGTGATACCATCCCTGGGCAGGTGGTCCTGGGTTCTGTAAGAAAGCAGGTTGAGAAAGCCATGAGGAGCAAGCCAGTAAGCAGCATCCCTCCATGGCCTCTGTATCAGTTCCTGCCTCCGACTATCTGACCTGTCTGAGTTCCTGAACTGAGTTCCTTCAATGATGAGTGCTGTGGAAATGTAAGCCAAATAAATCCTTGCCTCCCCAAATTGCTTTTGATCATGATGTCTCATCATAGCAATAGTAACCCTAACTAAGACACCTACCAAAAACCAAAAAAGAAAAAAAAAATCAAAACAAGAACAGAACAGGAGCTGGAGAAACGGTTCAGGGGTTAAGAGCACTGACTGTTCTTCCAGAGGTCCTGAGTTCAATTCCCAGCAACCACATGGTGGCTCACAACCATCTGTAGTGGGATCTGGTGCCCTCTTCTGGCCTGCACTGTATACATGATAAAAAAATAAATCTTAAAGAACAGAACAAAATAGGGCTAAACCAGGCCGAAGCCAGTGGTGGCTTCCTACCTGATGTTGTGATGGCTTGCTCATACATACACTGCTCCTATTTGTTATGGGGCCCTTGTCAGAGCCTGCCTCATGTCACTTGGACCTTTAATCTTCCAAAAACATGTGCAAAATATGTTTCCAAGCAAAGTTATTTTACCTCAGGTATTTCATTTCTATAGACTAATAACAACTCCCAATAACCAGCCAACCCTGCAGAATCAGACTTCTATTCCACCATCTATTGAGAGTTCCTGATAAATCAAAGGTGATCTTCAAGTTATTAAATATAGTAAAATATCCTTTGCTTAGACTTAATCCCTCAACTACATTCCTTCTATGTGTGCAATTCCTTCCTGTTGAACACATTGACTTCCTTGTCTTCCAATGCTTTCTCTGATTTTTTGCCTCCATATGTCTGACCACTGAAGAGAGTCATTAAGGGCTCTTCTATAAAATCTAAATACTAAGGTTCAGTTCTAGGGTTTTTTAAAGAAGTGTTTTGAACTGCTATATGCTTACACACAACAGGGTTCATTATAGCCTTTCCACACATTCACATAATTTGTTTTGTTCATATTTACCCATCCTCATTACCTTCTCTTGTCCTTTCTCTTTTGCCTTTCTACATCCCCTTATCCTAAAATACATCTCTGTCACTCACAGTCTTCCAAACCATCTTTTTTTAGGAATGAATGAATCCCAAGTATGTATCTGTAGACGGGGTCTCTTCTCTGAGCTTGTTTATTGTGATGCTGGGAATCCGAATCAGGGCTTTGTACATGCCAAGCAAGTGTTCTAACACTGAGCTACATCCCCAGCCCTCTTCTCTGAGCTTTATATCTTCATATACAACTGCTTGCTCAACATCTCTTCTTGAGTGTTCTATAGGCACCTGACAGTGTGTTCCAAACTAAGCTCAACCCTGCCCATCCAACATGCTTTTCCTCTAGTGTTCTCCATATTCACATATGGAGCTCACTTTTACTCCATTACTCATGCTTGTCTGCTTCCCATTCACCCCACTTTATATGTAACTAATTACAAACTCTGACAATTCGTTTAAAATTATTAAGTGAACAGGCAAAAATATCTGTTGCCCAAGGAACTTTTATTTTAACAAAACATAATAATATCTTCTTCTCAGACAAGGTCTGGGCACCCTGGTGTGCAGTCATTAAAAAAAAGATTCAGTGCTGGAGGTTAGGGGCACACACCTTTAATCCCAGCACTCAGAAGGCAGAGGCAGGTGAATCTCTGTGCGTTCGAGGCCACCCTGGCCTACAGAGCGAGTTCCAGGACAGCCAGGGATACACAGAGAAACCCTGTCTCAAAAAAACAAAAAGATTCAGTGACTCTATTTTTTTTCTTTCTGTATCAAAGTGCAGTAACTTGAAAAAAAAAGGGGGGGGCTCTATGGTGTTCACAAATTACCTTAACAAGTACTTACTATTTGCTCTGAGTGAAGCACGGTAGCCAGATGCTGTCAATAACTGTAGGATTTATCCCACTAGCAAGCTAACACATTAGTTTAACACTGTTGTCTTCTGAATGCTGGTGCAAAACACCTGGATCAGAGACAAAGAGCTTTAATCTTCAAAGCAAACCACGTAGCCGGAGCCTGACCAACCTAATAATTTGTCCCCTACAACCAACCTCCCAGTGTCCTGTGGGCGGGTAAGGTGGATGCTACACATGCAATTACTTCCTGACACAACCGAGCAATTCAAGCTTAGGAAACCTCGGTCTTTTATAGTGGACTTCAAGTCAACATGTCCAGCTTTTGTTCCGGAGGGAAACATTATTTTGCTGTTAGGACAGGGTCTTGTGTCACCCTGCTGGCCCTGTATTCCCGATCGTCCAGGTGCCACCTCCCAAGTGATGGGATCACAGGTGTGCCTCATTATCTCATTACCTTTACTTTAGTTTTTCAGATTCAGTTTATTTAGGAAGAACCTCGATAGGCTCATCCGGCAATTTATCGTGTGATGAATACAATTTCTACGTAATGTGGCGCAGAAAACAGCCTTCCACGTCGTGTATGGTGGCTCCGGGACACATTTCATTCACCCGGGCATCACGCCCTGCTTGCCAGCTCTCGGGATGGGTGCCTCGGGGTCCACACGACTTTGGTTTCCTTCTGTGATCACCCCGGCTCACGTGGCAATTCCCAGACATCGGTACAGCATGCTCGGTAACCGCAATCGCTCGTCCCACTCTGCAGTCCGCAGTTCCCGGCAACCCTGCACTTCCGGTCCCGAGCTTCCGGCCTCGCCTAGGCGGCGCGGAGGACTGTGGGAGCGGCTTCCTTGGATTCGCGCCTGGCAACGGCTGGGCGTCCAGCTCTGGACTGCGGAGGCTCAGGCGTCGCGTCTTCCCCGTGCCCACTCGTGGTCAGCCCGCTCCCCTCGGCGCGAGGTAGGAGAAGGGCCCGGCCCTCGCGGCCGCCCGCCCTGCTGCCCTGCTGCCTGCCGGGTGCGTGAGCGACCGGCGGGGGCGCGAGGGAGGCGGGCGGGGGCGCCCAGCCCCGCTCCGGCGAATGCGCTTCCCGTAGCCATCACTTTGTTAGCGCTCCGGGCCAAAGTGACGCGGCTTGGCGATGCCACAGCACCCGTGAAACTTTGAGAGTTTCCCAGCGAGTATTGCTAATACTTGCATCCGGTCAACTTTGAAATTGCCTAGTAATCAGGACTGAAAGCACAAGTACAGAAAAGAATGCATAAAGCACAGTCTCACAAAGATAAAAACATATCCCCTAAGGGTTGGTTCTAGACACCCACTTTCCCGAGATACCAAACTTCCCAGGTGCTCATTCACGAATATAAGGTGTTATGGTATTTGCATTGTATCTAAACCGTTTTCCCACTTCGTCATCTTAGACTATTCATTGATGCATAAATAATGGTTAAGCCGAATTGTTCAGGGAATAGAGAAAAGGGGGGGGGGAGATAAAGTGTGTGTTTAGTAAAGATAAATCTTTCTCCCAAATATTTTCAATTTGCAGTTGGTTGAATCCAAGATGCAAAGATATAGATGGCTGAGTACTGTTTTTCCAAGATTTTTTTCTAATCATAAAATTTCACTTTGTTGTTGTTATTTTGTTTTGTTTTTTGAGACAGGGTTTCTCCTTGTAACAGCCCTGGCTTTCCTGGCACTCCTGTGGACCTATCCTGTAGACCAGGCTGGCCTCGAACTCACAGAGATCCGCCTGCCTCTGCCTCCCAAGTGCTGGTTAGCCACCACCCCAGCACTACTTTCCCTTTTTATAGACTTTTTATTTTCTACTCTGGTTATGCGCTTTAGCGAAACCACCATAGACACTTTGACTGTGGACTGTCTATCACAGTAGAAGTAAATAAAAAGAAAGAACTTCCCATGTAAAATGGTTTCACTGGCAATATTGAGATGACAGTATACCACGTTATTTTTGAAAGACCATGGAGAATTTAGAAACCCTGAGTTGTACTATTCATTAGCCACTCATGATTGTTAGTAAAGAGTAATTAATTAACTTAAATCTTTTCTAGTCTTCCACATCTTTAAATCTTCCACTATTGGTCTGTTCAGCTTTCTTGTGTTGTTATATCTCTTTTTTTGTGTGTGTGTGTGTGTGTGTGTGTGTGTGTGTGTGTGTGTGTGTCTAATAAATCTGCTTGTGACCAGAAGAAAAGTCTCGTTCTAAAAGCTGATCTTTTCAGAGACTTACAGATAAACTAAATTGACATCAAAAGAGTTTGTAAGCAGAAAGTTCTTCAGCATGTGATTCTGAAAGTATGGTCCCTGGGCCAACAGCATCAGCACCACTTGGGAACTTGTTTGGAATCTAGGGCTTGAGAGATGGCTCAGTGGGTAAAGTGCTTGCTGCAAAAGGATGAGAACCTGTTGTGTAGTTGCTGGTGTGTGCTTATAATTTCAGCTTTGGAAGAGTGAAGACAAGAGGATTTGTGCTGCTCACTGGTCAGCTAGACTAGCTAAATATGAGCTCCATGTCCCAGTGAGAGATCTTGTCTCCAAAAACAAGGGTAGGCAGTGCCTGAACAGGATGACACCCTAGGGTGACCTCTTGCCACCACAGGCACACACATGCTTGTGTGTACACACACATGCAGGAGCAACCATACCCACACAAAGAAATTCATGTTCTGGCTGGATGGAATAACTCATATCTGTCACCCCAGCTCTTGGGAGGTAGAAGCAGGAGTTCAAGGCCAGACTTGGCTATGTAATGAGTTCAAGACCAGTGTAGGCTACATAAGACCCTATGTCAGAAACAATCCCCCACCCTAAAAATAAATAAATAAATAAATTTACATTTTGAGAGATCAAAGGATCTCCTTCACTCAAGATTTCTTGAATTGGAAGCATAGATGGCTGGGGAGCAGCTGTCTGAAATGAACAACTTTTAAGCTTCTGATGCATGCTCAGGTTTGAGAGCCACTGGTTTAGCACAGTATTTCCCTCTTATCTGTAGGGGATGTAGTCAAAGACCCCACATATCACACTGAACTCTTCAAGCACTTTTTTTTTTTCAGGACAATGTACCCTGTATAACAGCCCTGGCTGTCCTGGAACTCAATCTGTAGACCAGGCTGGCCTTGAATTCACAGAGATCCATCTGCCTTTACCTTCTGAATGCTGGGATCAAAGGTGTGGGCCACCATGCCAGGCCTTGCTGTTTTTAGTTTTTTCATATACATATATGCCTATGATAAAATTTAAATTATAAATTAGTCACTGTAAGAGATTAACAGTAATAATAAAATATAAATTATAATAACATACTGTGATGAAAGTAATATATATTCTGTTTCTCTAATTTTTTTTTTTTTTTTGCTGTTCTGTGTTCACACTTCTTTAATAAAGTATTTCAGTACTTAAAGAAAATACTTCCTGGGCTGAAGAGATGGCTCAGCTTTTAAAGGCTAGGCTCACAACCAAAAATAGAAGAAAATACTTCCTGCCTTTTCTTCGGCATGTTTGACTTGCCAATAGCTCTGTTCTTGTGCTTTCGGACCAATGATAAAGAAAATAACAAGAACTGTAACACCACAACAGTTAACCTGATAACTGAGATAGCTGCTACGTGACTAATGGGCAGGTAGCCTATACAGTGTGTATACAATGGAAAAGGGAATGATTAACATCCCAAGTGGCATTGATTAGGATGTTGTAATATTTTATCACTCTGCTCAGAAAATCGGCAGCTATTCCAGAAGCTAACACAGAGTTCCTGTGTGACCCAGCAATTCCAAACCTAGGTATATACCCAGTAGAATTGGGCATGCATTCAGCAAGGGCTGAGAGATGATGGCTCTGTAGTTACAAGCACTTGATGCCTTCCCATAGGACCTGAGTTCAGTTTCCAGCACCCATGTTGGCCAGTTCCCAACACAGACACATAAACTTAAAAAGAAAGTGCATTCATGCAAAAACTTGTATGTAAACATTCATCACAGGGTTATTCATAAAAGCTCAAAAGTAGAGCCAACCCATTGTTCATTAACTAATGAATAGAGAAGCCAAATGCTGTAAATTTATTACTGAGCCATGAAAAAGAATGCAGTATAGTGAAACTGTATCCTGAACCCTGAAAACATGCTAAATAAAAGAATCTAGACATAACTGCTACATACTGTATGGTTTCATGCACGTGAAATGTCTGGAATTGGCTCATCCATAAAGGCAGGCAATTGTTTAGTGGCTTTCAGGGTCTGGGCAAAGGAGGAATGGGGAATAATTGCTGAAGAGCCTCAGGATTTTGTTTTTATAGGATGAATAAAATGTTCTGGAGTTAGATAGCAGTGACGGCTGTACACCCTTTGAATATACTGAAACCCAATGAATGATACACTTTACTTACTGAGATATAAGCTAGCTTCTAACTTGCTATGTAGCTGAGACTGGCCTTGAACTTCTGAGCCTTCAGCATCATCTTCCTTAGATTGCCACCATGCCTTTCAGGGCAGTTTAGAGGAAACAGTCTTGATCTTTTAGGAAAGCTGAAGTAAACAGTGAACATGGTTCACTATTACATTGACCCAGAAAATGCTATACAACTATGCAAACCAAGTTTAAATCTGATTGTTCTATTGGGCTTGGTGGCACATGTCTTTAATCCAAGCAGTTGGGAGGTAGAATCAGGCAGATCTTTTGAGGCACCCTGGTGTATATAATTAGTTTCAGGCCAGCCAGGGTTATGTCTCAAAAAAGAACAAAACAAACAGAAAACAACCACCACCCTTGGCCCCCAAACAACACAACAAAACAAACAAACAAACAAACAAACAAACAAACAAAAACACTTGTGAAGCTGTCCAGGTCATCAAAGGTAGGCATATTTAAAAAAAAAAGCCACCAAGTATTTGAAAGATGTTAGTGTAAAAAAGCCGTTTGCACCACTCTAGGGATATAAAGGTGGAGTGGTAGGTGTGCCTAGTCACAACAGTGAATTTGACATCAGTACCATGGCCTGATACTGATGTGCTGAAGCAAGTGCTGAAGTTTTGAAGTTTTGCTTCACATGTCAAAGAATGGTTGTTACGGTAAATCTTTCCACCAAAAGCCGCCCGAGCCCCACCGCCACAGGTTCAAATGCTGCTTGGCCAATGACTAGGATTCCTCATCTGTTAGCTCAGTCTTAATTATCATAAATCTATATATTTTATAAGATTTATCTTATAGTGGATGCCTTTCCTTGGTGCCCTCTCTTGCCGGTGGCTCACATCCTGCTGCTGGAGGAGGCGAAGAGGAAAGGGGCCACTTCCTTTTTCTCCTTTCTTAAATATGAGTCTCCTTGCTATGTCACTTCCTGCCTGGATCACCATTTCTCTACTACATTTCCCAGAATCCTCTTTGACTCCTAGTCCTGCCTAACTTGTGTCTCATTGGCCAAACAGTATTTTATTCAATAATCAATAAGATGAACATACACAGTACGTTCCCCATTGGTTGGTTTATTATTGTGTGTGTATGATGAGGATGAGGGGTGAGTACATGCCAAGTGCATCTCTGGTGGTCAGAGGACAGCTTTGTCTGTTCCCTCTGTTTACCTTGATGTGTGTTCTGGGGATGGAACTCAGGTCACCATGCTTATGTGGCAGGCATCTTTATCTGCTGAGCCATGTTACTGGCCTCTGAACTGGAGGGTGTAAGTATAGATTCTCTGGTTATTGAACATACACAGGTTAAACCCCCAGGGTGCACTGCTGAACTTGTGAGTTCATGGTCTGGTTAGCCCATGCCTAAGCAACCCTGCCACA